ATCATTGCTTTTCTTTCAATAGACAATTTGAATGAAAGCATTTTATTTTATCATGGTTTTAGTGAAAATATATATATATATATATATATATATATATATATATATATATATATATATATATATATATATATATATATATATATATATAACTTTTATTAAACATTAATTTAGACAAAATAAAAATATAAAATAATTTTATTGAACAAAAATATAACATACTCATTTATTTTTTAGCATTGTGAATTTTTTTTAGGAATTTCCATAAAATAAAATTCGAAATTCGAAATTCACGCATTTGACTATTTGAGTATTAATTTGCGTAAAATTCTTAAACATTCAACGATTGGGGGAAAATATGGATAAGTAGGTTCTCTATATATCATCATCATCATCTCCATGAGTGACTATCACGCACAACAAAACCCTAATCATAATTCACCTTCTAAATCCTCTCAATTTTTATTTGATCCAAGCTTTTCATAGTTCGATCATCACAAGTAATCAATCAATTCCGACGCAGATGGATTGATGGATGCCTCTAGCAATACCTATCCGATGGAAGAGCCTAATGTCGTTCAATACCCGATCATTCATCTCCATGATTACGAACCCAAATTCCTTACTCCCAAGGTAACCCTAACTCTCCTTACAACCCATGAATGTTTTCTTTTCTCTTTTCTCTTGTCTCCTATCTCGAATTATATTATTTTCTGTTAATTCTAGATGAAACATACCAAGTTTAGTTTTTTTTCCTCAATTAAGTTCATCGATATTGTTTCCTAAAAGACTAGCTTTGATGTTTACTTGTTTATGTGTTGGAATTTAAGACATATAGTCTACGATCAACTCTAACAAATGCAACCTATCAATTAAACAACACCGAGAAGTACATCAATGGATTCAAATTTATATTCGAATGTAAATGCTTAGGTTTCTGAAGATGCCAATGATCACAACGAAATCAACGATATAGTGGAAAATTCTGATCTTAGCGAAGAACAAAATTCTGTTCTCGAAGTGGAAAAAACAGATACTAATAAAGATCAGTTTTTCTATTACGACCCACCCTTAACCGAAGACACTGGAGTTTGGATTCCTGTTTCCATTCCACCAATGTCAGAATCACAACGAGAAGAATGGAATCGAGGTCTGGGAATCAATCCAAACCAATTCGACAACAACATGGAATGGGATGATTTTGTCAACGAAGACAAGGAATTAACACTCTGGGATGTCGTTCTTGATATGTTACTTGCAGCTCAAGGCAAAGTCAGATCAATCACTTCAGGCGATACATACGCATATCAAATTTCATGGTTATCAGATCAACTTCTAGAACGTACATGGAAAGAAGTCTCAAACAATCTTACAGAAGTCAATGCTGATACCATTAAGGAGCTTCTAGAAGCCGAGCCACCAAAATGGCTGGCTGATAGTGCAGCTTCTTATTGTATGCTCTGTAACGTGAGATTCCATCCTATAATGTGTTCAAGGCATCATTGTAGATTCTGTGGGGGTGTGTTTTGTAATGAGTGTTCAAAAGGAAGGAGTTTATTGCCTGAAAAGTTTCGTAAAGGGGACCCACAAAGAGTTTGTGATGTGTGTTGTGTGAGGCTTCAGTGTGTGCAAGTGTACTTGATGGACCGAGTTAGCCGTGCAGTACAGGTGGCGACACGTGATTTGACGGATCTTAGTACTTTGAGATCTTGGCTTAATTTCCCCTGGGGGCAAAGTATGGAACAAGAGATTTATAAAGCTGCAAATACGATTCGAGGTTACTTTAAGGTAAAAGATATCTTCAATTACAAGGGCATTTACGTCTTTTCTACTAACCCAACCATGCATTTTCTGGGTGAGACAAAAAAGCTGCAATTTTTTGTCCCATTAACATCAGTATCAAACTATCATTACTATCAGTACAAATACAAGTACAACCTGTCATGTTATGTCATGTGTAACAAAACAAATGGGGCCCACATGGATTTTGAAGAATTTTGGTTGACATTTATGAATATTTTATAGGTTGGAGCTTTGACACCTGAAAAATCAATACCGGATTCTATTTTAAAACAAGCGAAAGGGCTTGCGATTATTACGGTTGCAAAAGTTGGAATGATGGTGACTTACAATGTGGGTACGGGTTTAGTTATTGCCCGTAGAGAAGATGGATCGTGGTCTCCACCATCTGCTATTTCTTCATTTGGTATGGGTTGGGGAGCTCAGGTGAAATATATACACTACCATTTCTCTCCATATAGTATTTATTATCTGCTTACTCTTGTCTCCTTTTTACTTTCAATTTTATTGTTAGTATCTGCTTTCTGCTTTATTTCCCACCGACCATTTCAACTTTATTGCTAGTATCTGTTTTTTTGCTTTATTTCTCTCTATTTGTTTCAATAGCTTTATTGCTAGTATCTACGTTCTGCATTTTGCTTTAGTGCTAGTATTTGCTTTTTGCTTTATTTCCCTCCACCTAGTTCAAATTTATTTACCTCCACCCATTTCAACTTTATTGTTGGTATCTTTTTTTTTTGCTTTATTTCTCTGTACTTGTTTCAACAGCTTTATTGCTAGTATTTGCCTCTGTTTTAGTGCTAGTATTTACCTTTTTGCTTTCTTTCCCTCCACGCATTTCAATTTTATTGCAAGTATCTGTTTTCTACTTTTTTCCCTCCACCATTTCAACTTGATGTTTTATTTCCCTCCATCTATTTCAAATTTATTGCTAGTATCTATTTTCTCCTTTATTTCCCTCCACCTATTTCAAATTTATTGTTAGTATTTGTTTTATTCTTTATTTCCCTCCACCTATTTCAAAATTTTTGCTAGTATCTACTTTATTCTTTATTTTCCTCCACCTGCTTCAAATTTATTGCTAGTATTTGCTTTTTGCTTATTTTCACTCCACATATTTCAAATTTTTTGCTAGTATCTGCATTTTGCTTTATTTCCCTCCATCCATTTCCATTGCAACTTTTTTTGCTAGTATCTGCTTTCTGCTTTATTTCCCTCCACCTATTTCAAAATTTTTGCTAGTATCTGCTTTATTCTTTATTTTCCTCCACCTATTTCAAATTTATTGCTAGTATCTGCTTTTCGCTTATTTTCCCTCCACCTATTTCAAATTTTTTGCTAGTATCTGCATTCTGCTTTATTTCCCTCCATCCATTTCCATTGCAAGTTTTTTTGCTAGTATCTGCATTCTACTTTATTTCCCTCCACCTATTTCAGCTTTATTGCTAGTATCTGTTTTCTTCTTTACATCAAAAAAAAAAACATTTGTATTAACTTCTTAGTTGATATGTTTTGACATGTTTTTGTGTGGTTTTACAAAAACAGGTTGGAGGGGAGTTTACTGATTTTATAATTGTGCTAAGGAATAGTGATGCGGTCAGGACATTTGGTGGAAACGCACATTTATCGGTTGGGGCAGGTGCGAGTGCAGCTGCTGGTGTTATTGGGCGGGCAGCTGAAGCTGGTTTTCGGGCAGGTGATGGTGGATATGCTGCTTGCTATACTTACAGTTGTAGTAAAGGTAACACTTGAATTCATATTTAGATATTTTTTACATTAGTTTTAAAACAAAGGGTCTTTTTGATTTTTTCTTTTATTATATTTTCAGGTGCTTTTGTTGGGTGTTCATTTGAAGGAAGCATGGTGACAACACGTGTGCAAGAAAATTGCAGATTTTATGGAAACCCATCAATAAAATCATCCGATATTCTTCTTGGGACGTTACCTCGACCTCCTGCGGCTGCGATCCTCTACAATGCGCTCTCGGAGTTGTATATGAAAGTAAATAAATAATTTTTATTTCTTTAAAAAATTTGGCATTCTTTGTTTTGTTCTTGACAAAGTCTTGCTTTGTATAGCGAAAGAACCATTTGGGGGTATTAGATTCATTTGGATTGTTTGTGAATGCATTTTAAAACCGATTGATTTGTTTGTTTATATGCAAAACTATTGATTTATAAGATGGTGATTGTGTTTAACTGTTTATTGTGTTGCCTTTGTATAAGTTCCACTAAAAAGGGTAAATGAGACTCAGTTTCAAAGAGTTAGATGTTACATTTTAAATTGGAAATAAGGGTTGTAGTGGTAGTAGTGGAAATATCTTTAAAAAAGGGACGACTTTCGTTGACCTAAATAATATATAGGGTCCAACCACAAATGACCAAATTATAGCAACTTTTATGTCTATAGCACTTTATGTTTTTCAAAAGTATAGTAATAGAAGGTGACCACTTAAATTTGTATATTAGTATAAATGATTCACTTGAATCAATTGACTTTTACAAGGAAAAATTTCATTAATTAGTAATCAAGTTTGAGAATTGGTTTATATGAATACCTCACTTTTTTCTTTACAAAGTTTAATTACTCTTTTTTTTTTTCGGTGTATCTAAAATAAGGTAATTTGTAATGTGTTACATGACAACGTATATGAAACAAAATAAACAAGGGCTAATGTTAAAATGGGTAATGAAGTATTTGTTTTTATCACAAAACACCATTTATTTAAAAAGTGATATCAAAAGGTAATCAACTTTGTGTTCACAAAACTACCATTGAAATAAAATAAAACTATGGTGTTTTACAAGGAAAAAAAAATAGTTCGTTACTCATTTATAACCTTAATAATAACCAAGTTTTAGTTTTGCTACCTTCCTTTTCCTATTGCATAAGTTTAACCTCTTCAACTTTTAGGACTCATACAAAGCATATTGAGGCCTTAGTGGAATTATTTACAAAAAGGCGAGAGAATGATAAAAGGGAGGTCACTATTTTGTTTTAATTGCAAATTACATGCCAAATTTGTAATCGATAAAGCTAAACATATTTTTGTCAATTTTAATTTTAATTTGTTTTAATTGCATATTTTTGTCAAAATCCAAAACATGCAATTATTAAAAACCCATAGTGCTATGGTCCACCTACCCCTTTTCGTTTCTCTTTCTACTAAAGCCAACATACTTGTTACTTAGGATCCTTTACCACGAACCAATAGTAATCATTTATCACACCAACATAAAAAATAAAAAATAAAATAAAAAAAAAAAATCAATCTACAACTTCATTCATTGCAAAATAACAATAATTGAATACAATCAAATACACATCTTTCATTCATACATATAACATACCTTAATTTAAAAAAAATAATAATAAACCATAACCATACCATGTGAATCAAACTAGAGCCTTTCACCGCAAGTGGAAAATTATATAGCATCAACAGTATTTTTGGGCATGCCAGGTTTTGAACCCTAGATCTTCACCTCAACCACTAGGAACTATAAACACACATTAATAGTGATGATCTCTTCTCTAGGCCACATTTTATCTGCACAATAGTATTTTTACTTTTTAGGGTTAGTTATCATAATGAGGTCAGAAGATTATTTTCGTCTTTTGCACAGACGAGACATCAGGACTAGCCTCTATCCCATCTTGTTCCACCTTTTTGGTAGGACAGTAATTGAAGCTTTTGTCCTATTAACATAAGTATGCATTTCAATCTATATTTTCAAGTTTGTTCTGTCATATCATGTAATGTCATACATAACGAACCTGGCCTTTGAACCGCCAAGAGTAAGCTCAAGATCATCCTGTCCGCACACCTCATGAATCCTTTCTCCTTCCCACGGCTTCACCCTTCCAAACGCAAACTCCTCTGAAACGACTTCCGCCATTGGAATATCCGCATTATTATCAAACCCTAGAGGAATCGCAGGGGAACAAGTCCCACTCTGTCCGGGGGTCCACATCCGGGACCCACCATGACCCAAACCTGTTTCCTTAAACCCAAACGGGTTTGCAGCCACAAGGCTAAACGTAGGCGACGCAGGTCCACTCTGTGGGACCCGAACGCCAGAGAACCAAGAAAGGGTCGGTGCACCCCAAGGTGAGCTGGTTTTGATCCGAGGTGGGGATTGAGCGGTTGGTGAGCTCACAGGTGGGGTCACCGGTGCGCTTATGGAACCGTTGTGGATGTAAGCATGGGGTAGCTTAGAGGACATGGATGATGATGACGATGATGATGAGAGATTTTTGAGCCATGGTATGAGAGAATCGGGGTGAGGATTGGTTGTTGGGCTTGCGATTGATGATGAAGGTGGGCTAGGGTTACATGAGGCATAGGGGCTCGGTTGGTATGATGAGCCTGGGCTCGCAGATATTGAACCACCAATGTGGGCCCAATCCGCAGGCTTGCATCCCTAAATAGCACAAAACACTTGATAATGTAATACTAAGTATAACACATGTACTTGGAGAAACGATCAAAGGTTTGACTCTTAGCAGTTATTATGTCAGCTATCAAGTGGGCTATATAGACATTTCAAATAATGTTTACGATCTTAAATTAGGGTTGATGGAAGAATAACTTTTTTTTTCCAAAACAAAGTCATAGTATTAACACATAATGGTAGTTTCTAGAATGGAAAAATGAAATACAATGAATACATGGTTCATGGTTCATGGTTGGTTGGTTGGTTTGTTTTGCCATGTAATATTTAGTTATTTACACTCGAAGAAGAAATTATGGGATATTTGAAGGGTGTTATTGTCTTTTCGGGTCTAATTGGGGGAATCTTTTTGATATGTGTGTCCAACAAAAGAACACAATGAATACGTATAAAAGCTGTTCAAAGTACTGGCCGGATCTAATGTACGCCGGAGTGGAACTAACTCAAACCCTAAAATCTTAATGCTAACATGCGCCATGGCACAGGAGATGTTACACTCTAATTTCCTAACAGATGGAAGAAATGAGGCATCTTTTTACCTGAAGAAGACAATGACTAGCTAAAATGCGCCAAACTAAACCACCGGCTATTTGGACCAATACTTACAGCTACCCTAACATCTTATGTTCGTAATTTTGGAAAGAAATTCATCAGTAAGAACAGAAAGACATTCAAAATCGAATGAATTCGGCAATATTCTCATGAACTAATCGAATCAGATTTGATTACAGAAAGTGTACCTTACGATATGTGGTGCCGTCGGACTCGACGGTCCAGCCAGCCTCGTCGGCGAGGGCTTTGAGGACCTCGTTGTTATCACAGTGCTTAGGCAGCTTGTAGTTGCCGTACATTCTCAGGCCGGCGAATATCTTCGCCGAGATCGCCCTCCTCCTCCGCTCCCTCCGCTTGTTGTTCTCCCTCTCCTTCCATGTCGGCATCCGAGTTCCCGACATCTCTCCCCCCCTCTAAACACACAAAACACCGGCGATGAGGTCTGTGCAAAATACACATAAATATGCAGGAAACACTTTCTCGATCGGAACAATTTGTGTAGGTAGCAGCGATTAGAGCGACATGTGTACTAACAAATTTATATCGTGTATGCTCAAATTTGCAGAAAAAAAAAGGCAACAATTGAATGAACTGGAGTTTTAATTAAGTAGCCGGATGAAAGGTAGACAAAGTTTAAGCAGCGAGTACAGGTAACTGCATTTATGAACAATTTCGCCGGAGAACCGGCTGATCTGCGGCGAAGCGAAGAGCGGATTGGTGAGAATTGAGAGGGAAAGGCCAGGGGCTATTAAATGTATGTGAACGGAAGTGTGTGTGGGCCCATCATGTAGTGTGGGCCATTAGAACACTGACGACTTGTTATTGTCAAACGGTTCTGATTATTTACGGAATTTGCCACTGGCTTCTTGTTAAAGAATATAAATGGATACATGGAATGACATTGTTACCCTTATGGTAACTTTTTATAAAAGGAGGTGATAATTTCATTCATTGTTTTTTGTTTGTTCATTACAAATAGTAAATTCTAGAAAAGCATAACATATATTTTTTAAATATTCAAAAATTATTATATTACTTTTTAGTATGTTTAAACTCCTATATTTTCTGAAAGTGTCTGATTTAAGTTTTAAATACTAGGTAACTAGCTTTTAAATGTTGTGGCAACAAGTTTTAGAATATAAAATTTCACAAAATGTATAAAGTTTTTAAAGCATTAATTTAAACAATATAGTAGTTTTTTTTAATGATCGGATGAAATACGCTTAGATTTTTATGAGATACAAAAAGCTAAAATTAGACTTTTAAAAATATAAAAAATTTAACACATTAAAAAGTAATATAGTATTTTTACATTTTTGAATTTTTTTATTGTTAATTGAAAAGAAAAAATTATAATAAAAAACATAAAACTTAAAATATAATCGTTTAAACTGATAAAAAAAACTCCATAAAAATCTTTATCTTTTGATTTCATAATTAATTCAATGCTTATAAGTTTTTTTTATTACATTAAGTCTCAAAAATCCACATTTGTATACATTTTGATCATTTTATCCAAATACCATATCATCATACTTTCAGAATTTATATTTTTGGTCAATGTTTTAAATTTTATTACACATTTAGTAAAAAAAAATTACACTTATAACCTAGATTTAAACATTTTGTTATGAATTTATTATAAATTTAGTTTTATACATCTTTTTTTTTTCAAAATTATTTTTGGAATATGCTTTCTTTGCAGTATAAAATCACATTTATATAAAAATCATATTTTCACATAAAAACATTATTTTTTCTATATAAAAAATATTTTTTATAAAACATTTTTGTATGCAAAATACATATATAAAAACATTTTTTTTAATGTATGCAAAATAACTATATTTAAAATCATTTTTTATTTTAATTATCTATTTTTAAAAACATAATTATGTGAAAATACGTGAAATACATTTATATAAAGTACGTTATTATACACATATATACTTTAAAAAATCTTTTAAAAAATAGGTACTTATTAAGTACATAAAAAATATTTGTGTGCATATAAATACATAAATATATACAAATTCGTTTATATATATATATATATATATATATATATATATATATATATATATATATATATATATATATATATATATATATACATGTATTTTATAATAAAAAAAATGCAAACACTTATTTTATAATCAATGCATTTGTATACAAACACGTTATGTATACATTTATGTATAAAAAAGTGTTTGTATATAGAAATATATCCAAATATGTTTACTATGAAATATGTGGTTGCATATATATATATATATATATATATATATATATATATATATATATATATATATATATATATATATATATATTGTATACATTATTTTTATAGAAACGTGTTTGTATAATGTAACATCCCGAAAATACTAAATAAAAATTTTTCTTTAAGTTAGCCAAAACAACCATTCATTCATTCCAAAACACGATCAATGTATAAAAATGTATCAAATAGTTATCAGAGTACAAAATGAGTCATAAAATACGGATCACAGGTGCATGCGATGCAATCACATTGAGCTCTTCACCGTTAAATTATTCAACTCCTAATAATCAATGCACATCTTGTGTAAATCGTCCTTTTTTCTTCACAAACAAGACCGGTGCTCTTCGAGGCAAACTACTCGGTCTGATAAAACCATTGTCTAGTAGTTCATGCAACTGTATAGAAAACTCCTGCATTTTCAGTGGTGCAACACGATAGGGTACCTTGGCTATCAGAGTCGCACTCGGAGTCAAATCAATCTGAAACTCAACCTGCATCTCGAGAGGAACTCCCGAAAAATCATCGGGAAACACATCGAGGTAATCCCAAACAACGAGCGTATCAACAATGGTCATCTTCCCCTCAACCTGAGTATCCAACACATAAGCCAAAAATCCATAACATCCATGCTGAAGATACATCCTAGCCTCGCAGCTCAACATAGAGTTGGCCCACGTTATGCACCCTCGCAGATGTAACATCCCAAATTTCAGAAGTTTGAGTTAAGGGCTTAAAGTGTAAATTGAAGAAGGGACTCAACGAGTAGGTATACTTACTCGTCGAGTCGGAGCGGGTTTCGGTTCGCTAATTAAGTGACCAACTCGCCAGGTCGGAAGATGGACTTGACGAGTTGGTGTTGGAATGAGAAAAACCCTAATCTCGAGGGTTGCAACCTATTTAAAGGACTTTATGTCCTTCTCTCAGCCTACTTATTACCCTTGAGAACCAGAAAACCCTAAGCTCGCGTGCGTGAGGCCTTTGGAGAGAGATTGAAGCTTTGGAAGTTGCTTCTAGTGGAAGAAACTTGAAGATCAAAAGGACTTGCATCAAGAGAGTGGTGTAGATCCAGAATCTACTTTAGTTTGGGCACATATTGGAGGTAATAAGTTGTTACCTTCCCTCTTTTGCATCTAGATCTATTCATGAATGAGATTTGGGGCCATTTTGGTATGTTTGAGATCTATTTTGGGTTTGGAGTTTAGATCTGAGGTTGCTACTCCAGATCTAGACTTGTGTTGGTCTAGAATGTCATAAAGCATCAGTCAAAGAGTTGTTGGTGAAGCCCCTTTGTCTTAATCCCTATCCCTAGAGTGATTTGGACCTTTAACTCCTTGGTTTCACGTAAAGTTTGCAACTTTACATGGGGGTTATGCCCTAGAAGAGTAGATCTACAGTTTGGAGCCCCTGCATGGCTCAAAAAGCCTCCACATGGATGAAGGACTGAAAAGACTCGATGAGTTCCTCGGGTGGACTCGGCGAGTCATATGAAGATGAGCATAGACTCGACGAGTTGGAAGAACAACTCGACGAGTCTGTTGATGATTCCCTTGGACTCGGCGAGTCAGGTCGTAGAACCCCATCCTCTTCTGGTTAAGACTCAGAGTAGTGAGTTGAGTAGTGATTCGGTGAGTTGGACGGGATAGGACTTAGAGAATGTTGAACTCGACGAGTCATGGGGTTACTCGACGAGTAGATTCAATCGGAGGGGTGATTTTGACCAGGAGTTTGACCAGAGTTGATTTAGTTGATCTCGGGAGGACGGTTTAGTCTAAGTGTTGTTATTGGTATTGGTTGCTCAGGGAGATAGAGGAGCAGCATTTCGGAGAGTTGTCCATTAGCAGCCAGAGGGTTATCGGTCGAGTTCAGCAGTTCAGGTGAGTTTTCCTTCTAGTAGGAACGGGTCTACGACCACAATGCCGACCCGTTTAGTTAGTTGTAGTTCCGGACTTCGGTCTGATGCAGTAGTTCAATGTGCTTGATGTATTTGTGATTGAATCATATTTTTGCGTTATGTGTTCCGAACTTCGGTCCGATGCAGTATGCAGTATATGTGTTTATGTTAGTAGTTATGATTATGTTATGATATGTTCAGTCAGTTAGCCGGACATTGGTTCGATGTAGGGGCAAGGCCCCAGTTAGTCCGGACTTCGTTTCTATGCAGGGGGCAAGGCCCCAGTTAGTCCGGACTTCGATCCGATGCAGTTAGCCTAGATTTGGTCCGATGCACGGGCAAGGCCCCAATTAGTCCGGGTTTCGGTCCGATGTAGTGGGCAAGGCCCAATATGTGCTTTATATGTTATTGTATGGTATGTGGTAGTTTGGGGGAGCTCACTAGGCTTCGTGCTTACAGTTTTCAGTTTTGGTTTCAGGTACTTCCGGTAGCGGAGGGAAGAGCTTGGGTTGATCGCATGGTACACACCATATTTAGTCAGCCTGGGATGTTTCACTATGATAATAAGAATATGTTTTGAATTAATACTCTGATTTTATAAGAATTATGTTATGGTTTGACAATCGTTGTTTAAATAATGTTTTTCAAACAAAATTTTTGGTCATGATTTTTTGGTCGTTACAAGTTGGTATCAGAGCCTTGGTTTGAGGGATTCGGGTACACTCTCGGGTGTGTCTGAACTCAAACTAAGGAATTGGTATAGAAATTTTAAAAAGGAAAATCAATTTTTGGTAAAAAGGGGTTTGAGAAAAGAAAAGAGTTTTAGAAAAAGCGAAGAGGACTTTTAGAAATAAAAGAACTTTGAAAATAGAAAGGTGTGGTGCATGCAATCAGCCAAGCTCAAGTAAGTACTCCCAAATTACCCATACAAGTTTATGTTATGATTATCAGTTTCAGTAGAACAACATGCTAGAATAGGACTAAGGATCTAGGGGGATGCCTTATGTGCCTGCTATATGTGTTCCAGCTTTATGAGAATTGCATGTTAGTATTGAGTAGACAATAGTAGGATAGCATGTTTAGGTTATGCCTGATAGCATAAGCTTAGCATTGTATGCTAGTACAGTTTCTTGATATGAGGATATAATTGATTGAGTAGTTTCCTGTGTCTGAATGTTTCTTGCTTTGTGCTTTGTGGGACTCCGAGTGATGGGAGTTAGCAATTAGGTGAATACGACAAGTCACATGTAATCAGGGTTGAATAATCTTAGAGTATTGGATTTGACCCTATTGCGCAACTCTTGTTTGAGTCTAACCGTTGTAGGGATGAGTCCCTTACTCAAAGGATTATTCGAGCCTCGTTACATGTGATGGTATTCAGGTGATGGCTAATTGGCATTACAAGGAGGCCTTCAACAGCTGAGGACTGGTTTGGTTAGAGTCAGAGATTTCCCTAGGGCAAGCCTAGGATGAGAGTAGCAGAGATCA